AATAATTTAGAAAAAATTGATAAATATGATAAATAGTTCTTACATTTAAGATCAAAATTAATTCAATAATTAAGTTATATATTAAAGACTGGAAGAGTGTTATGATTTCTTAATCTAGTTAAAATATATTACTACGCCTTGTGTGTGTGCATGGCTATTCTAAAAGCTACGCATTGTCAAATTTATTTATTTTTGAACGTTTTCTCTTTACATGATTAAAAATATACTTTTTAAAGTTAAAAGACCAAACTGAAATCTTACATAAAGTTAAAAGACTAAATGTATACTTTAGTTTTTTTTTAAAAAAGGAAAAAAGAAACTATCAACATAAGAAAGTATGAAATGAAGAAACTATCAAAACAAGAAAGTATGAAATGAAAACTATGTTTTAATTTCTTAAGCAGTAGGACACTCCACTCTAGAACATTTAAAGTATTAAAAGACTACTTCACGCTGAAAAAAGTGTCATGCACTCTTCTTGTACACATCTCCATTTGTATCACACACAGCGGGAGGGAGGGGGAGATAAACATGCTGTGATTAGGTGTCAACATGGTTAACCTGTGAATTGTGATATGGCTAATGTTTTCAATCACCTTATGTTTTTGCAGTGGATGAAGGGGGCTTCTTTTTTCCCCAGCGGATCAAGTGAGCTAGCTCACCGAGATATGGGATTTATTACAGGGTTAATGTGCAAATTTCTCTTAAAAATTTTTACTCAGTAGCACTTAAAACTTGAAAATCTTTTTTTTTTTGGGGTGCAAATTTGCCTCCTACCATTAAAATGGTGATGTTAAATATTAAAATGTTTAACGGTATGAGTAATTTTGCTACGAATTTAAACTGTTGCGATAAATTTGCATTCAAAAGAATTTATAGGCATCCAACGCCTCTGAGCAAAAATTTCTAGACTAAATTTGCATCTTAACCTTTTAGTGTGGTAGACTATCACATAACCCTAAACCCACCTTTATTTCAAATTAAATCCTACATTGTAAAATAATATTAATTGAGGGTCCAAATTGTAATACTAACTACCAAGCAATTGGACTACTATACTTTGGGCCTAATTAAACTATGCTTCACATACACTAGACATAACGGGAAGCCGTTTGTAGCCCAAAAAACCAAAATTGTAGATGTAGCAAAAACCTGGAAGCCGTGAAATGACGACGCAGATATACACATAAACATAAAATATTGATAGGTGTGCCGGCCCTTGCAAAGCGTTAATGCTTACAAGTCTGCAAAATTATAGTCCTCACGATTCAGTTAAAATTTTATTATTATAATTATTTAGGTGGGTTAGTTAACACTAATAATTTTGATTAATTCCTACACGCATCCTCGTTTTTGAAAACATATTCATCTGCAGAAAAATGTCCCTTCAAACACTGGAGTGGCTTTGAAAATAAACTTCCATTGTTGTTGACACTTGACACATTGAGCTCATAAAAAAATACTACCTCCGATATTCTACTAATTTGGGTTCAGGAAAAATTACTAGTATGTATGGTTATCATTTTTTTCAAATTAATTTGTCCAACTTATAAACCGATATATATAAATATTTCAGGAAAATTATATGCAATATATATTATAATTAAACAAATTTTTAACTTCTTCAGTTTTCTCAAATTATTCAAATAAATCTTATATTAAGAATTGGAGGTAGTAGTATAAATTGACTTGCATATATGCAATTAATTGGTTAATGACAATTAGGGTTTCACCAGATTTAGGAGTCAATGATACTGCCTTCACTCTTGCATTATAATTTGAGATTTCTCTCAGTTTACTTTGTCTCTTCTTGCTTCAAGAAGTTAATTAGAGTATTTACTTTAATCATATGCTCCTTATTAATTTAATTAATTGTACAAAAAATATTGTTGGTTGTATGTGAGTGTGTGTATATCATGCCTTACACAATAGGAACTTTTTTTTGGGGGGGGGTAGACAGATGACATATAGTATGTCCATAGAACTCTATATGTGGTTGGTCCCTTAGTCACCAAGTAATATTTAATTTGGTCATATGACACTGTTTATCTACAGATCATGCTCTATAAATCACCTACAAATCATAATTAAAGCCTAATATTTAATTAGATTTAATTTATATTTAAACTAAAATGTTATTTTCTCTCTTCTATATATAGAAAGGGACAAACACAAACGAATATGTTAAATAAATAACTTTAATATTACCATAACTTTTATTTTGCTAAATAAATAACTTAAAATTGAGAGACGACGGAGCCTTAATTTAAAATTAATTAATTATTTAAATCCTTTTAAAAAGTAAATAATTAGAATAAATGGCTAATAGTAACTGCATTGATAAATACTTATGATTATATTTAACTGGCCTTCAATATTCAACTCATTTAACTTATTCTCAAAATGTCAAGTTCTAAATAGTCATTTCTTAGTTTGAATTTGCATAAATAAAATAATATAATTTCATACCCAAAAAGCTGCATACAAATTAAGAAAATTAAACTTAAGTACATGCACCTTACTTAACATCTAGATTGTTTTTTTGCGCAATTAAATTTAAACAATAAAGAATATTTTCAATAAAGAAATAATAACACAAAAAGTAACAATATGTCTAAAAGATACTACCTTTAGTCCTTAATATAAAAGTTAGTTCGAAATCTAATTTAGTTCTAAATATAAGATCTCAATCTATTTTATCCCTCACATTCATCTATTTTGCCCCCCAATAATCTCTATGGTGATTGCAAGAATTGTTTCAAAACAAATGATTAATCAGAAAATTTTTGGAAGAATAATACCTATTTATTACAAAAAAGAAACTAAGTTAAATTCTTAATATTTACAAATTAATTATTTAGCTAGCTCTCATATTAAAGATCGAGTATACTAAATAAGTACGTTTTGTGATGTGTGATGGTAAGCTGGTTCAACACGGTAAAACAAAGGAAGGTGAGAAACATGGCACCGAAATTTGAGAGATGACTCACACTGAGTCAAAGTTTGATGAATGCATATCACATGGTAGGTGGAACTTTGATTGATATGACAGTCTTCGTGTGACATTTTACACGAACAAATCTTCAAACTTTCAAAAACTATTCAACCCCACAATAACTAATCAATTCAATATCAATCACACGCGCGCGCGCGCACATATGTATTAAAATCTATGCTGAAGAATTGAACATGGAACATTGTAGGGGAAGTTCTCTCTCAAAAGATCCACTTATGGAAGATCATAACAAGAACATGAAGTCTCACGGTGAGCAAGATGTTGGTTTAATAAGGTGATTTTGTGTAACCTGGCTTTGGGTAGTTTCTTATATTGATTTCTTTGGAAACATATTGAGCTTCTTCTTCTTCTTCTTTGTCAAAAATCATTTTGCTCTCTTTACTTCGAAATTTGGTTTGCTGACATGATCCAACATTTGTTTGTGTGTGTAGTCCATTATATGTTAGTTAAAACTGAATCAATTACGGATGATATATTTGCTTTTCGACAAGAGAAATCTAGTTTTACTTAATCATTGATAAAATTATTTGGTATTTGGTATTACTGAGTTTTTTATGATTGCTGTATCTGATCAGAGATAACATTTTCAATATGATTTTCTTTTTCATTTATAATCCTTTAATGTTTTTATAGAAAATTTAATCTCTTCTATGATCTATTTAATTTGTCACACCTACCAATGTTATCACATTACTTTTAGAATGATTACAATTAATTTTTACTTAATTATTTCCAATTAGGGATTGAGCAAGTGATTTTAAAGCCAAACAAAAAGAGAGAAACGTTTGGCAATTTCCTAGACCCTTCATCTCAGATTGAGAAGAAAGTATTAAAAGAAGGAAAAAGCTATGACATGCATGGTGTCCCTTAAAGCATTGTACCAAAATGCTAATAAGTCATTACAATAATTGATACAAACTGCTTTTTAGACTTTAATTAATCTTTTGTGGTAGGCGCCTCCTTAATTATATGTCTTCTCTAAAGTAAGAAAGGGTCAAGAAAATATAAAAATTAATTATAAAAGAATTGAGATTCATTTTCTGTGGGCGTCTATCTTTATTCCAAACGTCATTGCCTTCATTAGATTGTTGGCCACATCAATTAAAAACAGTTTAAGTTTTCATACAATGCGTAGATATAACTAGATGTGAGCCTCACGTATTAATTGGCAGAAATTTTAAAAATTAGTGAGTGAAATAATATTGCTATATATAGAATTATTTCCTCGGATCTTAAATATAATAGAGAGTTAGCAAGGAGGTCTGCTTTAATCCTAAATGTAAGGCATCAATTTACTTTATCCACAAATTTACAATGTTCTTGGAAACCAACACACGTTTTACAAAAATGATATTTTTATTATAAGTGATATTCAACTCGAGTCCAATATGTCCACAACTAATTTTGTTTTAGCCCCACCTAGAATTCTTTTAATATATTATGTGTAACTGTTTGGATTACAAAAAAAGCCAACAGCAAATTAATATTTATAACCCTGTAATTATTTTGTGGTTTACTCTTTTTCATCAATATCAAATCAATGATTGAAGTTCATTACATATAGTTAATTGAATACTGCATACAGTAGGAATAATAAAATAACAACTCCGACTGCTACTGCTATTGAAGTGATCATTTGTGAACAAAAGAAAGTGAGACAAAATATACAATAAAATATCAATTTAACCGCCAATCAAGGGATCTCCATCATTCTTTTTCAACAAAAAAAGCCCAATGATTTTGATTCCCACCACCATTGTCCATTGGGATATAAATATATATTTCAAACTAAGCTAACCTCAATTCTCGTGTGGTCCAACGTCAAAGAAAAACAAAAGACAAAATTTCGTGCTGTCTTGTTCTGCATTTAAGCTAGTATAAATTAACATCGACACAAGACTATTCATGGGAAGAAGAAAAATTCATTCCTTCGTCTCTCTCTCTCTCTCTCTTTCTCTCTCTCTCTGTGAGATCTGTTTGGAACATGCAGGAGGAGGATCAGAAGCTGATTGAATCAGCAAAGGGAGAAATAAGAGAGGTTAGAAGAGAAAACGAGAGGTTGAAAGTACTATTGGAACAGATTGTGAAGGAGTCCGAATCACTTCAAATGCATTTCTTTGACGTCCTTAAACAAGAAGAAGACAAGACTAAAAATGCTGCTACAATGATGGGAACAGGGGATCATAGCCCTAGTACTCATCATGAACAAAATGATGAGCTTCTCTCTCTTTCATTAGGGTTTTCATCATCCAAAGGTTGCAGAAGTAGAAATACGAATGTGAAAGAGGAAAATGAGAAGGATTTGGCAGAACCAGGACTTGCACTAGGGCTTGATGTCAGATTTGACCCTTCATCAAGTAAAATTATTGAAGGTACAGACATAATAGCCATTGAAGGTAGCTCTGGTGATGATGAGGAAGAGAAGGAAGAAGAAGCCACTGAGTTGCAGCCAGCCGGTAAGGTTCTCAAGACGATGACAAGCAAAGGGGATCAAACTACTTCTGAATCTTCTCATCAACATCAGCTCAAGAAAACTAGGGTTTCTATCCGAGCCAGATGTGATACTCAAACGGTTCGTAGTACTGTTCACGACTCGTGAATATCGTGTTATTAACAAGATGATTAAATCTTGGTCAACAAACATTAAACTTTTGTGAATAGGAAATATAAAGATTATTACTTTAGTTGCATGTTTGACATTTTTGTGTTGCAGATGAATGATGGATGTCAATGGAGAAAATATGGACAGAAAATATCAAAGGGAAATCCATGCCCAAGGGCGTACTACAGATGCACCATGTCACCATCCTGTCCTGTGAGAAAACAGGTCTGAATTCTTCTTTTCTTAAGCTCCATAGTACTTGAGGTTAAAAATAGTAGTTATGGCTTTGTTGAGTTCTTGAAATTTGCTATATACAAACACACACACATATACAGCGACAGAGAAAGGTTGCATGCTTGGGTTTAGAAAGCTCTTTTTGGGGAACACATGAATTGGCAAAGAATAAGGTCTTTCTTCCAAATATGAACTGACAGAGAAATTTGAGATAATTAGTCGAGCTATAATTAATACTACTTTCAATCCTAATTATAAGATCTTATTTGCAGTCTGTAAATAAATTTTATAAATAGGAACGGAAGTAGTAGAAGTATATTTGGATATTTATATATTATAGTTTCACGGAAATTTGATGGCAACATTATCCAGTGTGATAAACTAGCTCCTTTATATTTGTGAAGCTTTTCTATTTTTAAGATGAATATTCAACTTAGCATTTATTTTTTTAGTTTCCAATAAAATACCTTTTTATCTATAAAGTAAAAATAAATTCATAACAATGTTTTATAAAATGATGGTGTGTATAAAAAACAAGAAAGAAATTGGAAATAACACACACACACACACACACAAAAGTAAAATTGAAATTATTGTAATTTTACTGTGCATTTTTTCATACAATGTATAATCAAGAAAAGATCACATTTTTGGCAGTGGAAAAATTTCAACACCTCTGTAATGTAAAGCACTGCGGGGTGTCCGTGCGTGTGCTTAAATAAAATTGATTTTTACCATTATTATATTACTGCATGTTAAAAATTTTTTTTTTTTTTACTTTTTAAATTAGATTTGAATATTATTTCAGGTGCAAAGATGCGCAGAGGATATATCCATCTTGATAAGCACATATGAAGGAACTCATAATCACCCTCTTCCTATGCCTTCTTCGATAATGCTTCAATCTCCTTGCTCTTTCACTTCCCTCTCCAATAATAATAATGCTCCTCTAATAATTCCTCCCTCTTCACAACAACCAAAAACCAAATTTGCCTCCTTCTTCACTCATAATAGTGCTCTCAATAGCTTCTCTAAGGCCTCTTCCATTATTCCATCCTCTACTTTCAATCCCACAACCAAACTTGATCTCACTTCCTCTTCTTCCTCTCATCATCAGTTCAGAACATTCACTTCCGTAGGCTTATTCTCTTCCAGACCAAGACTTGCTTCTCATTATCCACCATCTCCTTCACAATCTTTGATCTCTCCTTATTATAATGGAACGTCAAGCCAAAATAGTGGGAAACAACCATTAACAATGCAACAAGGGAGAATTGAAGCTGCAACAAAAGCAGTCACCACTAATCCCAAGTCCCAGTCAGCCATTGCAGCCGCTCTCACTTCCTGTGTTACTAGTAGTAGTAGTAATATTGGAAATGGCTTATTGGACTGCACTGTTTCATCATCATCAAGGTCTATGATGAACATAAATGTGTCTTCTTCTTCTTCTTCTGTGATCAATAATGCTCAACAAGCTGGAAATATGGTATTATTTCCATCAGTTCCAGCAGCGTCTGGAAGTGGCTCTGGCTCTGGCTTGTTTTATTCATCAGATAGAAGCAACAATGGAAAAGGAAGAATTTGAATATTACTCCGAAGGAACCAAACCTGTGATTATTATCAGTAAGAGAAAAGACAACCTAAGTAGAGGTGAAGATATGGATCCGGTAAAGAGTGGAAGAATCAAGAGGCCGGAGAGAACACCTGGACTTCAATTTTTTTTCCCCCCACGTTAAAGGCCCATAACGTTAGTATCCATGTTGATGGTGCTAATACATATGGAACCTTAACCATGTAGAGTCATCAGGTCCATATATATGCATGCTTTTACAATTCACGGAAGCCTAAGCATGTAGCAATAAGCATGAAGATTATGTATGAGTTGGCATGGAAGAAGCTTCATGGCATGTTGGGTCGAGCAACACGTGTCACATCTCTTTTATTATCACATTATACATCAATTGGAACCATCAGGAACCATTATTCAAGACTTAAGTATAAGAAAATTTCAATTTCACAATACCCATTTTTCGGATTTCTGTATACTATTCACAGCAATTTAGGCCAATTTTCAAAATTCATAACTAATTGTAGAAAAATCCAAATGGGATGGTTCAAAGTTCTATAGAAAGCTCTTGACATGCTCGTTAGAGTGAAAATACTCATTTGTATCCAGATCTCATGGATCATTCCCAGATTTCCTTCAAAGTGGTACTGTTTATTTGGTTATTTTTCAATTTTTTAAGATTTATGCCTAACTTTGGAAGGGCATAACTTTCTATACAAAACTCTGAATTTAGTGAATTGCCACTTTTTTTAAAGCTAAAAATGAGATCTATAAGCATGCCAAGTTTCAGATCCAGATTCATCCAATTACTCAAAATCATGTTAGTCAAACTTTGCTCCCAAAAAGTCAACCTTTATCTCTTTTTCATACCATTCTTGCCTCTTTTTTTTCTTCTTCTTCTTTTCCTTTTATCTAGCTTTTCCAACCATGCAACACATGCATAGACATAATTTCTTAGCCAATTGTTCATAAATGGAGCATCCTTAATCATCAATAAAGTATTTCAACATCATTTACAATGATATATGACATCTTATAATAATTTACAACTCATAACTTTAATGACATTTAGCTTAAACTTATTCACTTCCAATCCTTCTCTCTTTGCCCTTGGCAACACCACTTGGGGCTCCTATTATTGTTTATACATTGAAAGGGTTAGATTCCATAAAAATCTCAGTAGCAATGAACTACAATTGTCATGTAAATCAAGCAAGTATAATGTGACATGTTATAAAACTTCAAACATCCTCAAGTCACATAAAATCATATTTTGCATCATACCAAAAGAGGAACATCAACAATTTCACATTGACATATTTCTATGCATTTGGCCAAAGCATAAACACATGTCATAAAGTCAACTATTATCACCACATAAATTCTTCAATTCAAGCAATCAACATAATCACATTAAACAAGCAAAATAAACAATCAAATTATAATTCAATGCTACCTTTTATCACTTGATTAATTTGGAGTCCTCAAGGGACAATGATCCTCCTTGATTCCTCCTCACAAAGCCTGTTAAATTGAGTATAAGCATAGGCCACATTAATAGCCAAACCACTTAAACATAACACTCTCTCTTTAACTTAACATTTTCCCCCTTTTTCTTGGGTTTTTAACAAAATAATTCTTCCTTAAGAATCAATAACCTCATGACTTATTCCTACACAATTTTTCATGAGGAATTCAAATATGGAATTAGATTTTTGAAAATCAAACTACTTCCTTATGAATTCCTCTTGGCCGAATAGGGGGTTTTAAGCTTCCAAAATTTCTATTTTTGATTCCAATGATTTTACATACTTTCCTTTAGTATATCCCTACACAAAAACACATTTTAAACCCATTGGAATCTTCAAATCAATGCAAAACAAACTTCTCCCATAAGAACAGCCCTTGGCCGAAATGAACATATAGAATCCCGGGTGTATTTTCTTTCAAAAACCATTCCATATACCACTTAAACAAACTTATTCTACTTGATATTTAAGACTTCTATCCTTCCTAAACCTTTCATGATCAGACCAAAATGGGACATCATCTAGCCTTAGAATTTCAAGCCAAAGCTCTAACTAAACTAGCTTGAAATTTAGGGATTAAAGGGTTTAAGCATACCTTGATATTTTCTTGTCCAAAACCTCCACAAATTCAGTCTCCCTTGGTCAAAAATGAAAATGGCAGCACCTCCCCTCTTTTTCCCAATTTTTCCAATATTTTCTTGTATTTTAGGAAGGGATATTTATAGAAAAACCAAGCCGCCTTTCCCCTCTGATTTTTGGACGTCCAAAAAGGCTGAAATAAGGTGATTTGGCAACCATCAAATGCCTCGTAGTTTTAGATCTATCCATGTGTCCAAGTCTAGATTATTCCAATAATTATCCCTTAATTTTGCATTTTATTTATTTAAAAATAGAGCCGTCCAGAAGCTCCACGAAATTGGGCTTGAATTGGGCCTAATGTGGGCCTCACAAATGGTTTAGGATAGCCCAAAAAGATGGCCCACAATCCAAATCAAAATCCGAAACCATTTGAAACTTTATTGGTTACTATTTGCTAGTAATATTCCAAAATTTTTATAGACCTCCAAAAATTTATTTCTCTTCATGATAATTCACCTTTTAATATGATAACATGATCTGAAATTTTTCATAATTTTTCACCACCTCTAGATATTTATTTTAAATTTTCTCTGATTAGGCCTCTGTTAGTGTCACTGCAAGAAAATAAGTTTCTTGAAATTATTTATCAGACTTTCAAGGCCTAAAAAAATTTTAGAAATTAAAATAAATATTTAGATGATTTTTTCATATTTTCCCCAAAATTATTGAGGCCTCTAACTAATTAAAATAATTATTTTCCTCCGATTTTCTAATATTTTTCCGAAAACCTTTGTTTACGGGAAATTCCATAATAATTTATTTTCACCATTATTCCACCTTTTGGGTCTCAGTCAAATTTTCAAAAGCTCTAACTTATACTTTTACCATTTTTTGGGAATTTTCTAGAATTTTTCTCTAAATTTCCCATCTTGCCCTGCATAAACCGATAATTACGAAAATACCAGCCTGGACCTTATCAGGGTTTTACCTCAAAAGTTATTTCATCTCCCTGTCTAGTTTCTATATTGGCCCTTATTCTAATTTTTTAACTTCCTATGTCCAGGTGAAATTTCTCAGGATGTGATAATATATAGAGCTCCAATAGTTGTGTATTGAGCCTAGGGTTGGCCCGTCTTGGTCCCAATGGTCTAGAAATTTTTTGAGATGGGACAAATCGGGACTGGACGGGACATTAAACAAGGTCATTCCATTCCGATAGTATTTTTTTAATTTTTATCATATTTTAATTGTTAAAAACAAAAACTTAGAAGACTATTTCAACCTAAGCTATTTAATTTTGAAATTTCAATTTCAAACTGGCTCTTCATTTAAGCAAATGAATTTAATTAAGAATTTGGGAATGTAGGCACAGAACAAGTGTTGCAATAAAATAGAAAACAAATAATTAAATCACTGAAAAGTAAGAAGAATGCAGGAGTAGGTGTAGGAAAACTAAGGGAGGAAAAGCAAATATATATGAAATCATAATCTAAGCGCTAGAAATTTAAAGTGAGTCTATGACTAGTGCTCATGATGTATATTATTATCATTTTTCATTTCACATATTGATTCATAATAATTTCTTTGGCTAGCAACTGTGTATAATATATATGTGCTTTTGTTTTTGATAAATAATGAAAAAAATATTGGATTATTTATCTATTAGTTTTGAATATTGTGGAGGGCTCAGCCCAATTAATTAACTAAACATGAGGGGGGAGGACAACAAAAACCCATTGGAATAGGTTCAAAAATATAACAGCAAAAAGGGCCAAAAAAATGTTGTTTTAAAAAGATCTGGACATCCCAATCTTATCCTATTCCAATCAGGTTCAGGACAACATTAGGACAGGACAGGACAGGACATCAAACAGAAAATTTGTCCCAGCCCTGTCCATTAGGACGAGACTGGTATGAGCTTATCTTGGTCCTGTCCCATCCTATAAAACACCCCTACTTAAGCCTTTTATGTCAATTTGATTATTTAAATTATATTGTAGACTATTTTCAGCCCATCAAATATAGGATGTGTTTGTTTCAGAAGAGGAGACATATAACAACGAAACTACTACACTTTTAAATTAATCAATATTGAAAAGTTAACCATGATAAGAAAGAAACTTTGTAAAATATTTAAGAATACTATCATGATTATATAAACATCCTAAATCACATGAGATTAACCATGATAGAAAAGAGTTAAACCAATCTATAAATATGTCTATCATGGTTAAAAGAGCTTTTCTAAATCAACTTCATGCAATTTGAGATTCACAATGAATAGGGCTTTGGGCATTATGAACCAGAATATCATTTTCAACCATAAGCCCATGACACAATTTTACTAAATAATAACTTTCATAAGTTTCTAAAATCAAAAGTTATCTAATGTCAAAGATCATTGTGGATTCACCACTCATATCAAACAAAAGAAATCACATGCAAATACCTAGAGCCCTCCGGCCTTCTACTAGCATGCAATTTAATAACAGTGATCAAAAGTACACTATCAGAATAATCAATCTCAAAACATATAAGAATATGTGGAATGAGCCCTATTATGACAATATACATTTATCCAACACAATCAAAAGGGTAGAAGCACTACTATTTCGCAGTAGTAGCTTAAACTTTCAGAGCCTTCCCTGACTGACCCAAATAGGAACTATCACCTGGAAAAGTGTTAAATCAACGGGGTGAGACAAAAGCCTCAGTAACCAACAATTCTACTTATCAAACATACAAGTAAGTGCTCATGATGTGTCAAGTGAGACAATTGCCAATTCATAGTAATCAAACAAATTTCATATTGTCAAAGCATATAACAAAGTACAATCAATAATCCTCTCACCTCCCTTATATTCACCCACTTTATATCCTCTGACTGAATCCATAGGCTAAATCCTCATTCATGTGACTAGTAATTAGACAAGCTCACCAATCAAGTGATATGAACCAGCCAAAATCCACATAGCACAAAACCAGACTATGAGTTCCCCCTCTAGTCTACTAGTGGGGTGTTAGTGCCCTATAATGAGTAATTGGACCAAAGGACCAATCAATGTACACATGATAGCCCTATCACCTTATATCTTCAAATGTACATAGTTCATCCCCTTTTATCCTCTTTGATATAGTTCCCATCATCAACATCCGCCACCCCTCACATATCAATACTCAAAATAATGTATTCATAATAAATCATCAACATATCAAAATCAATTCGAATTTCCAATTCCCCATTAATTCATAATGCATGAGATCATCATAATTGTAAACACATATATATTTTGTAAAGAAAGTCTCACAAGACAAATTTCAATAACAACATAATTTCATAACTCATATCATAATTAAGTAATATTTCATAAATCCCATATAATTCAAAATCAATCACAAGCAACCTGCGAGTATGAATAATAAGTGGAAAGTGGTTACCTCTGACCCACTAGGAAAAGGATTACCATAAGGTTAATCCCATGCTTAACCAACAATCCAATAATTTAATCTACACAATCAAATAATATTGTCTCTTTTAGTTTTTAATATAATATTTAGTTGACTAATTTAGAGAAATTAAGAAAATTATAAATTAATTATAGCATATGTCATATGATCTTACTAAAATATTTATGTGTGTTGTCAAATTATATATCAGTTTATAAGTCACACAAATTAGTTTTTAATAAAAATATTATATTTGCATATATTTTTATTTCTATTTATTCAAGGCCTCTGATTACATGGTTTTTAGTACTTACAAATTTTTCTGATTATATATTAATTCTTTTTATTTTAATTTATTATTTTTATTAAATTTATCAAATTAGATACCTATGATATATTATAAAAACTTATGTCATCTTCAATTATTTCATATCTAAACTTACTTTTCATTACTTATCCAAACATGTTTCAATTTGTCAAACTAATTCTTTTATAAAAATCAATCTAAACATATATCATATTACATTGACCAGTTTTTACCTTAAAAAAGTCAATATTGCAAAAAAGTTACTTTTATCACTGCTAATCTGAACACATCTATAATTAAGCATGTCATGTATATATATTCCTAAAATGTGATTTCATTAGAGATGGCATGTTTATATTATTGGTTTTTTTATAGTATTTATTTTTTGACCAAAAAATTTATGTATTTTTTAATTAGTGTTTTATCCTCTAATAACCTGGCTATTTATGAACTTTTGAGTTTAAAATTTTCAATTAAAGTTCAAAATTAGGGTTTTCAAGAGTTTTAGCTAGTTTATAAGTTTTTTAATTTTCTTATAAATACTACTTCTAGTTCTTAATATAAGAGTTAGATAATTAATTGGGACAGATTATTAAAAATTAGTTAAGTTAATTAATTGTAACAAATGTACTTAAATTAATCTTTTTAATCATATAATTTAGAACTATTCTTTAGTGACAACCTTGTACAATTAATAGAGATATTTAAAAGAATTATAAATTTAAAAATAAAGTGAATTAAGGTATTATATTAGCCTTTTAACTAACTCTTATTTAAATACCGACTTAGTAATTAATATTATTTAATGCTATTTAAATCAAGATTTTAATTAAAATTAAAAAAATAATTCTTTCAACGAGCTTTGCTATTCAATTTATGTTTTATAAATATTTATTTATTCTTATTTGAAATATTAATGAATATTTTTATTAAAATATGTTGTATCGCACTTATGCAAGTTGCAAGGGAGTATTAAATATGTAAGTTTCATTTGGAAAAGCTATACTATATTTTAAAAAAATTAAGTTAGGAAAGCTATTTTATTTTTATCTTTCTTTTTATCGGAGTTATTTTATTCTGAGAAAATTGCAAATAAAGACCCCCAATATATAAAATGGCAATCAGGGACCCTGAATTTGAAAAATTGCTGCAGAGGACCTGGTTCTAATTTACAATTATGAAATGTGCGTTAAATAGCTGAAATACCCCTTACTCATTGTGACTCTTAATGAAGGTAGAGACAAGGATTTTAATGCATGGCGGGAGAGCTGCTGGAGAAGGAAGACCCGAACGTGTTTGTGTGATATTGGGATGGAAGATCTTCCAACATTGGCAATGATGAGAGTAACTTACTGACTAAACTCTTCTTTTATTATTCCCTGTAAGAGTTGCACATTGTGATATTCTTCATCTTCATCTCTGCTGTATGGGTGAGTAGGCTGGAGGAAGGGAGGGAATGGGAGGTGTAGTTGAAGAAGATGAAACATATCACAATGTAGGAGGTTGTGGTTAGTTAGAGGTGGGATATTTTTGTTTTTATAGTGTGATTGGTCATCTCTCATTTATAGTGCATAGTGTTGGTTGTGATAGGGAAGGGGTAGGAGTGTAGTGGTTTGGCAGAGTGTGGGTGGGATAATGGCCGTTAGTTTGACTATGAAGGTTGAGGTGTTGCCGCGGAAGGAGGAAATGATGATGGCGTGATTTTGGGTGCTGAAGTTGTGACCCTAAAGTGAAGTTGTGAAGCCCTAAAGTGATGTTGGGAAGACAGGAGGTCGCAGGTTTTTAATTTGGCATGTAAATGATTGATTTGATGGAATAAATGTGTAAATATTTATTAGTGAAGCTGACGTACTGACTAAATGTAAATTTTTGCTACAGATTAGTATAAAAAATGGATTTCAATAACAGAAGGAGCTGTGAGAAGGAGTTGTTTTGTTACGTGTACGTTGGTGGACATTTTGAAGCAAATTATGAAGGGGTAATTAAATATATTGGAGGGAGTGTAAGGGTAACTAGTATAAAAGAATAGATAATAGCAGATGAGTTGTGTGGAATAATTTCACAGTGGATAGGAAATAACAGTAGTGGATATGAGATTAACTATAAAGTTAAATTTGATGAGAGTACATTAATTGATCTTTGTGATGATGGTGATATCTACAACTTGTTTAGGTATAATGACAATAGTGGTCATGTGTATGTAGGAGGGAAAGGGAATGACAGGGAACCTAGAGCAAGGAATGATCCAGACATGTAAGTAGTTATGTTTTCCAATTGAATTTGTTATTTGCTAATATATTGTTGCTAATTCCTATAGAAATATCATAACCAAGCTAATGGTGTTGCAGACCTAAATTGTAATTAGTAAATGCAAGCATGTCATTCAACATAGTAGGCATGTCATTTCCATTTTTAAACTTTTCTTTTAGAAATGCAGACTTGTTATTAGATATAAGTAGTGATTTTCATATGTAGACTTGTAATTCAACATACTAAAGTTGTAATTATCATATACAAACTTGTTATTTAGATCTGCAGATGTTATTTTACTAACCAGTAGTTTCTATATCGAGACTTGTTATGTGAGTAACTCAAGTTGTAATTACCACATGGGACTTGTTATTTTAGCAACCAATAGTTTGTAGATGTAGACTTGTTATTTTAGTTACTAAAGTTGTAATAACCATATGCATACTTGTTATTTAGATATGTAGACATGTTATTTTATTCAAACCTATCATTTGAATATAGCCGTCCTAACTTGGTATTATGGTGGCAGGAGTGAGAATTTATTTGGACTTTCACAAGACATGAACACATTTGAAACGACCATTGGTGATGAACATGAGCCAATGAATATTGAGAATGGAGTTGAATGCCTGACTTTTGAAGGAGGCGGATCAAGTAAGAGAAGCAAGTATAGTGGTTTAGAGAGTCAAGGAACACTAATAGGCAAGATTAATTGTATGAAATGGGCAGGAGTGTTTGTAGGAGTGGGCCAATATGTTCCACATGCTGTTGCCTTTAGGGAAGCTGTGTACAAGTTCAGTATTGCAGAAAGTTTGCAGTAAGATATGTCAGGAATAGTAAGGAGAAGATGAATGTGAAGTGTAAAGTAGAATGGTATCCTTGGAAGATATGTGCAAATGCTGTTGGAAAGAATAGTCATCTATTACATGTGACTACATTTTGCAATGAGCACATTCATTCAACGTAAGACAATCTGATTGTGACTTATGGTGGGAGTGCTGCATTGACATCATCAGTAATAGTTGAAGAGATAAGGGACCATGTTGAAAAACAGCCCACTGAGATAAGGAAGATGTTAGAGAGGGAGTATGGTGTGAGGCTTATATATTGTCAGGCAATAGAGCAAAGGAAAAGGCAATGGAAGAAATACATAGGAAACTAGAACAGTCTTATATTTTAATACCATGGTTATGTGAAAGGTTGAAGGAAACTGATGACAAAATGGTTGCTGAATGGGCCTCCATTGGTAATAGATTTGAGCATATGTTCATTGCATACGGTGCATGTGTTGAGGGTTTTTTGAACGGTGCAAGGCCTATATTATATGTTGATGGTACTCATTTAAGTGGTCTATATAAGGGGACGTTACTGTCAACTTCGGCATATGATGCGGATAATGAGATGTTGCCATTTGCAATAGCAATGGTGAAGGGAGAGAATCTTGATGACTGGATGTGGTTTTTTCACAATATTAAATAAATAGTTGGTTCAATGCAAAAGTGTTGGAGCATGTGCATTTCAGTAGGTACATGCACTGTGAGAATTATCGAGGGGGAAGAATATGCGTGCAAACATCACGTGGAGACCAAAGAGTGGACCTTGGCCTACACCAATGCAGTTGTGGAACTTGGCAAATGTCAGGGATTCCATGCTCACATGCTTGTGTAGCCATTAAGACTATAGGGGGAAACATTTATGATTATGTTGAAGAGTGTTACAAACGTTCATCCCAAGAGAAAATCGATTTCTGGAGCATGGTTCTAATGGTGACAATTGATATGCCTTACCTAAATGACTATAGGTTTGAGAATCTTACTGTCCAACCCTTGCTTTTACCCCCAATCACTGCTACGCCTCCTGGAAGACCAAGAAGAAACAGAAAGGAATCACAATTCCAGAACAAAAAAAATATACCATTGCACTAGATGTCTTCATCCTAGACATACAAAGAGGACATGCAAACATCCTAACCCAGTTGACTTCTACTTACAAATGGGATAACTAATTTTTTTTGCACATATAGGGTTCACTCTTCTTAATTTTTTTGGGAGCAGGATATTTGTAGATGTGCACATATATTTTTTGTCAATTTTATGTTTGGTGACAAAGGGACATTAAGTGGAAGATGCAAGTTAATGTGCACTTGTCATTGAATGTTGTAAAGAACTTGTTGCTGTGAAAGAAATATGAACTTGTTAGTTCTTGTTATTTTGCATAGTTAAGTTGTCATTTGCTTTTGTGGACTTGTAATTTCATATTCATCAGAAGTGGTTGCTGTCAGAAATGTGCAAAGCGTAGTTCCGTGTTTATAAAAAGTGGTTGCTGTCAGAAAACAAAATGTGTGAAAATGTTATAGGAACTTGTCATTTGCCATAGTGAACTTGTCATTTGGCTTTGTCAAGTTGTAATTCCGTGTTTATCAGTAGTGGTTGCTGTCAGAAATGTTCAAAGTGTAGTTCTATGCGTATCAGAAGTGGTTGCTGTCAGAAAACGAAATGTGTGAAAACCTTATAGAAACTTGTAATTTGCTATAGTAAAGTTGTCATTTAGTAATGTCAAGTTGTAATTCCGTGTTCATCAAAAGTGGTTGCTATAAAAAATGTGCAGTGTAATCCCAGCCTTCAAAAGTATGAAAATGTATTAAAACCTTCTGGGAAGTTGTCATTTTCCATAGTAAACTTGTCATTTCCCTTTCTGAAGTTGTAATTCCATGTTTACCAGTAGTAGAAATCCAGTCATTTCAACAAAAATTTTCAGTTTCATGAAAACATTATTGGAAGTTGTAATTTTCGTAAGTGAACTTGCCAATTTCCTAGTGAACTTGTTATTCCGTGATTATCAACAGTGGAAATCTACTCATTTGAATAGAAAATTTCAGTTTCATGAAAACCTTATTGGAACTTGTAAATTTTGTAAGTGAACTTGTCAATTTTCTTAGTTAACTTGTCATTCTGTGATTATCATAAGTGGAATTCCACTCATTTCAACAGAAATTTTTCCTTGCATAAAGACCTTATCGGAACTTGTCATTTGTGTAAGTCAACTTGTCAATTTCCTTAGTGAACTTGTCATTCTGTGATTACCATAAGTGGAAATCCACTCATTTGAAGAGAAAATTTCAGTTTCATGAAAACCTTATTGGAACTTGTAAATTTTGTAAGTGAACTTGTCAATTTCCTTAGTGAACTTGTCATTCGTGATTATCATAAGTGGAATTCTACTCATTTCAACAGAAATTTTCCCTTGCATGAAAATCTTGTCGGAACTTATCATTTGTGTAAGTCAACTTGTCAATTTCCTTAGTGAACTTGTCATTCTGTGTTTATCAAAAGTGGAAATCCACTAATTTCAAGAAAAATTTTCCTTTGCATGAAAACATCTTGGGAATTAGTCATTTGCCATTGTCAGCTTGTCATTTTTCTTTGTCAACTTGTCATTCAGTGAATCAATGTGCAAATTTAGCCACTTTTAATAATGAATCTCAAATTTGTATGAAAACACTTTCACAAGTTGTCATTGGCCATAATGAACTTGTCGTTGCACCTAGTAAACTTGTCATTGGCCTGACTAAACAGAAATTTGTCATTCCAAATGTAACTACTGTTATACCATCAATCCAACCATATTATAACCATTACAATAATTGCTATACAATTTCAACAAATGAATCCATTGATAAAGTTAGTAAAATTCACAGAGCCTAATTTAAATGCTCTCTACAAGGACTCTCTCCTCTTCTTGGTCATTCGGCCCTTTTCTGGTTGTGAGATAAGATCGTACACATTCTAACAGCATTCATTGTCATCATGGTTCACTAGCCACCACATCAACTCGCACCGAAAAGCCTGCATAGCAAGTTTACCACCAAACAAGTCACACGTGGTTACTCTTGATTGAAGAATAAATAAGGTAATGTCAATTCCTCAGTGTATTGAAGGGGAACATGAGGCTCCAATTTCTTGAGCTATATAAGCACATGCACACCACAGTCCCTCCCACCCACAACACTACCCTAACAGTTTTAGCTCGTCAAACCAACACAGCCAAATAACATATCACATGAGTAGGGTGTATGTACTCACAAATTATTCTGCTACGGTACATTAGGCTGGATAATTTCCAACTCATTACTCAAATCTGGTTTGACCATCTGAAGTATGTCTTCAAGCTGATTCCTCTGCACATATGCCATATTCATCAAAAGGATAATAATATAAAATTGTCATTTCCCTATCTAACATGCACAGGTTAGGAACATCTTACACAATGTGTGATGGCCAATTCTTGAGAGTCATATGTGGCCGCCTTCTTCTGCTTGGAGATGGTCTTCTTACCCTTTAAACTTGCTAACATAGAATAGAGGACATTGAACTTCTGGGTCTTCAGTTCGAATGCAAAATAAAACCAATGCTCCCCAACTAGAGCAGGACCCAGAATCAAGCCGCAGTTGC